CTGTTTCCCATAAATTAACGATCATAACGGATGAATAGGAATGTCTTAGAAAAAACTTTAAGATTCTATCTTAAATGTATAAAAGCATTCCAAGAAATATAAATTCTTTTCAGGTATAATTTAAGCATAAAAAATAAGTTTAGAGTAAAAAATGTAATTAAAAAAAATCTATATCTATTTTAAAAAGAATAATGTAAAAACATAAAAACATCTACATTTGTGTTTTAACAAAATTAGCTACTAATAACTGTTTTATTAATTTAAAGTGTAAAAAATCAGCTACTGTCTGTGTCGCAAGAGTTAAATAGTGTGCTAAAAACAGTCAATTAAAAATGTACATACATTACTAACAAATTTAAAAAATTCACAAATAAAAAATAACTTCTCTCCATTTAAAAAAAAGTCAAAAACCCTCTAAATACATTAACTTAAACTCTCAAATAAGTGTTAAAAAAGCTCAGCCTTTTTTTTTTTAATTTATACCAGCCATTCACAAATGTAACCAGCTGTTACAAAATGTAGCAGTCTTAAAAAAAGAAGCACCAAAAACAGACTATATAAACTTAATAAAAAGAAAAACAACAATTAGCGTTACTACAATTAAAAGTGCAAAATAGTTACTAAAATTAGTTTAATGTAATCATTAAAATAAAATGTAATAATTTTAAAAAAGCAAAAAAAAGATTGGTACTAAAAAATTACATATAATTTAAATCTTCAAGTGACATTGAAAGAAAAGCTAAAAAACTTAAGAGAAAAGTTAATTTAAAAAATACAATGGTGCTAGGACAATGTAACATTGTTAAAAATCAGCAAAAAAGCAAACTTGTGTCACCTTTGTGTCCTCTGAAAACTGTTAAAAAAATCTTTAAAATAATTAGCAATAATAATAATAATAATAATAATCATAATAATGCAAGCACGCCGGTAATAACAATACAAACAGTAAACAAAAGCAACTCCAAAGTAGTTAGTAAAAATATTTCATTTTTAAACCAAACAACGACAAAAATTAATCCATATAATCCAAAATGCTAATGTTTACATTTGCTTAACTGTTAAGAAAGAAAGAAAGACCACAGTACACACCTGGCAAAAAAAAGTTAGTTTTCACAGACTTAACTAAAATACAGTTACAGTATTAAAACAAATGTCTACTAAAAAGGTTACAAAATAAATCTTTATCAACAAAGTGTCAGCCGAGTTTTACACAAATATGGCTTGGTTTAAGGAGAGAATGGCATATTTAAGAACTCCCTCACAGCCTGGCAAATAGCTTATAATATTGAAACAAAAAAGACAGGTATTTCTACGTCTTATAAAAAGTTAAGGCAAACCTACTTTGGAGATCAAAAACATCCCCAATGTAAAGACCATAGTTTTAAGGAACTTTTTATCGGGAAATTAAATTCTCAAAAACAAAGCTACCTACCATGCCCAGCTTACCTAGGAACAAATTCACTGGTATAAATGGTGACAGTTTGAGATTTTTGAATACAAAGTTTTACCTATTTAAAGGACAACCTACCAAAGGCCTGTTAAAATCTGGTGAAACAATTCCAGAAGTAGCACATGTAGTTGGTGAATTTTCTGTAGAAATTCAACCCATTGGAGAAAAATTTCCCTGTAAACACACTAACTCAGAAAGGACAAGCGTGGAGTTATCCTACAGCTAATTACATTCCACTCCATGTTTCCAGGAAACTAGCCTAATATTAGCATTACCCCACCCCCGCAAAAAAACAGAAACTCATCTCTTAAATTTTAAGGAGGGTAATGCCTTTATTTTAGTGAATAATCCATTGTCTAAAACTATTAAAATTCCTCTCCACAATTTAATTTAGGTATTGTGTCATCTTCCACATGGGACAAGCTTTTTGCCTTTCTATCAGTCACCATGATTGGTAAAGTTAAAAACTAACCCCCCAAAATGTTATCAAGGAGGGTATGTGTTACGCAGTATCTTTCTTTCAATTTAGGATTTATTTTAAAAAATTCTCCCTACACCTAGCTAATTAATGGGCAAACATGAGTTACATTTAAAAAATAAAAAATCAATAAAGTCCTGTTTAATGTAAAATATCAGTTCAACAATCTAATGTACTAGGTAAAGTTTTAAAAAAAAAATTCATCCTCCAAAAGCAGCATATAATTTTCGAAAGCGAGTGAATAAATTAACAAAACTGGCAATAGTTTAGCCTAAAAAGAAAACACAGAATTAAAAAAATAATTCCAAAATGTCTGTTTTGTAAAAGCTGCCTGAATTGTTTAAAAAAAAATCAAACATCTCCACAAAGTAAAATTAAAAACCACTTCAAAATCAAATCTAGTGTATATAGAACAATATTGTATTGTTAGCTGCTGAAAAATCCATGCAAAGTTTTTTATTTTTTGATAGATATGGAGAAAGATATCTTATCTATCTATCTATAATACACCCTTGTGGCCAGTTTTTCTTAATCTAATCAAATGTTAACAATTCATTATAAGCAACTAAACAAATGCTCCTAAACTGGTAGCAAATTCCATTTATAAATCAAAACGTAGCCAAGCTAAGTAAAAAAAAAAGTATTTTACCACCTCTTAAATGTAGTGAACACTTTTAAAACCCTAAAAGTAGTTCCAAAAAAACAGCATAAGCTAGCTTTTGCTTTAAAAAAAATCAATATACCTGGGGGGGGGGGGGGGAAATGTCCTGGGAATAAAAATGTCGCCAAATTTAATTGTTTCATTCACAAAGCTTTACCTAAAGTCAAATATCATCATAATAATAATAATGTTTTAATTTTTAGTAAAACTAAAAATCATGTAAAAACCCAACCAATATATGTGCTAAAACAACTTAAAAATGATTGTCAAAACTGTCTTTGGTAAAAAGACAATTAAAAAAAAAGAGTAAATTATTTGGCTTTTAAAATTTCCTCTAATGGTCTACGACCCCCAAGTTCATAAAGTGCAAATTCTAATGAATTTTTAAAAATATCAGAAGTACATAGTTTTCTGTGACCCTGCAATTACTGCAATTCATCCCAGAATATGCCGGAGTACACTTTGGTAAACTACTACGAGTACATCAGGATTGGAACTAGGAACCTGCACAAAATCAGGCTAAAAAAAATAAATAAAAAACAATTAATTCAAGACCCTGGCTTAATTTACCCTCAAAGAAGCAAAAAGTGTTACTTAAAGATTGCATGTATAGAACACAGTATAATTGCTGTGTGTTATAAAAAAAAAACCCTCAAAACCCCAAGCTATTAATTATGCAAGCAAAAAGTTAATTGCCGTAAAAAAAATACTCTCACTATAAAAAAGAAATAATAAAAAAGTCACTATTAACATTAACTACCAGTCTTTAAAATAACTAAAATCCAATCAAACTTTTAAAGTAAAGTGTCGAGTGCCAAACTAATCTCCTAAATTCTAGGCGGGGGGCAGGGGAGGAAAGAGTAAAAATGATGTATGTTAAAAATAGTTTGCAAAAGCACAAAATTAATCCAACTACATCAACATCAGGACAGTAATCTTAAAACAATACTTAAAGAAAAGTAACTTATTTGCCCACAAAGTTTGCAGTATCCATCTTATAATGAAAATAATTTGTGCCAATTTACCCATTGCATACATAAATAGTTACTCATTTAATCAAAAGAGGGTTCAGCGTGCTAGCGCAAAAATATATTATCAAACCCCCCAAAAAATCTTACAACACTTTAAACTAATTCCTGGCACAAGTCATTATGCTGAAATTGCTGCTGTATTGGCCTTAAAGTCAGCTGTAAAAACTAATGTATCGACTTTCATTTTAGGTACAAATCAAAACTATGTGACAAGTAACTTCCTGTTATATCTTTGTACCTGGCGTACCTACACATTCCAAAATGCTAAAAGAAAACAAAACAAATGCTGTGAACTACTTGCACTAACAAACCAATTAGGTCAAACCCATAAATTAACCATTCATTAAAACATAGTACAAAATTATTCACATGCAAATAAGTAAAAGCATCTAAACAAGTGGTTCTCAGCAGGGGTACATGTACCCCTGGGGGTACGCAGAGATCATCCAGGGGGTACATCAACTCATCTAGAGATTTGCCTAGTTTTACAACACGCTACAAAAGAAGCACTAGCAAAGTCAGTACAAACTAAAATTTCATACACTGACTTGTTTAGACTGCTGTATATACTACACACTGAAATGTAAGTCCAATATTTATATTCCAATTGATTTTTGTTACAATTATATGGTAAAAATTAAAAGGTAAGCAATTTTTCAGTAATAGTGTGCTGTGACACTTTTGTATTTTTATGTCTGATTTTGTAAGCAAGTACTTTTTAAGAGAGGTGAAATTTGGGGGTACGCAAGACAAATCAGACTCCTGAAAGGGGTACAGTAGTCTGGAAAGGCTGAGAGCCACTAACCAATAATAAAACTAACACACTTGCCCCAAAAAAGTGCACTAAACGGAACACTTGGGAATTTACATCACCTGACAAAATCCCAGGTGAAAACACTAACTCGGGTTTAAACAATAAGCTGTTGACTTAAACGCTTTTAAGCATTTATCAAAAAAGGGGGGGGGGGCAAAGCCAATGTGAAAAGAGTTTGAGACACAGATTATACACACAGATACTTTGCAGTTCCCTCCTACGTTCAACATAGGCCTATATACAATGTAGCACTTTCCTCCCATTCATAGTCACTCTGTGCGCAATAGAGCAGCTTGATTTCCCATTCAGGGTCAGTCAATACAGGATACAGCTGGGCTCCAGCCCCTGCTCCTGAGACTTTGCTGCCCCCACCCCTCCAGTACCATTTTCGGTTGTTCCATGCAGCAGTCAGACTGTTCAGTGTATGGATGTTTTATTCTTGTCTCATCCTATTTTACACCATTCAGGGTGTTGTTCCTGTCCCCAAAGGGAAACACCCCCCTGAGATCTGGATTCACTCTGAATCCATATCAGATGTCACAGCACGAGTGAATTAGTCAAGGGGCTCATCCTGCTTTGCATTTCTCCACAGCTTCCAGGTGCACAACAGGGCTGGAGGCCGTGATGCCGTCGTTAACATGGTTATTGGTCTGAAATTTCCCTATGGCCCGTCAGAGACAGAAACGTACCTGTGTCGCTCCCCAGCTCCAGTCGCAGCATCTCTAGGGGAAGGAGAGGATCGGGAGAGGTCAGAATTGAGGCCCTTGCATTTCGGGGGAGGTTTCCAATAGTTATTAATAGGGCCCTACCAAATTCATGGCTGTGAAAAATGCGTCACGGACCGTTAAATTTGGTCTCCTCTGTGAAATCTGGTCTTTTGTGCACTTTTACTCTATACACCTCTACCCCGATATAATGCAACCCGATATAACACGAGTTCGGATATAACACGGTAAAGCAGCGCTCCAGGGGGGCGGGGGGGGGGGGGGGCTGCACACTCCGGTGGATCAAACCAAGTTCGATATAACCCAGTTTCACCTATAGCACGGTAAGAATTTTTGGCTCCCGAGGACAGCGTTATATCGGGGTAGAGGTGTACTATAAAGGTATCCTAAACTATAGGGTAAACGTATACAAAAGTACACAGTATTTCTCAAACTGGGGTTCCCTACCCCAAAAGGAAGTCACAAGGCTATTGTGTGTGTGTGTGTGGGGGGGGGGGGCACAGTATTGTCACTCTTACTTCTATACTGCTGGCGGCAGCGCTGACTTCAGAGCTGGGTACCTGGCCAACAGCCGCTGCTCTCCGGCCACCCAGGTCTGAAGGCAGCGCAGAAGTAAGGGTGGCAATAACGTGAACCCCCTACAATAGCCTTGGGTCGGTTTGAGAAACGCTGAGTCTTGAGGCCTTTACATGTTTATATTTTACCATTTTTAAATACATACTCACGTTTTGTTACAACACTGTGAAATTTAAATATCTGAAACTGTGAAATTCAAGATTTTTTAAATGCTATAATCGTGAAATTTACAAAAATGGACCATGAATTTGGTAGGGCCCTAGTTATTAATGTAACTGCTGTTAGCTACAAGATGGTGACACAGACTGAGGTCGATAATGCAGCCGCTGCAGACAGAGCCAGCCCCACAGGGCTACTCCCATGGGGAAGGGCGACTTGCTGAGCTGGGGCTGTGAGATGAAGCCCAGGATCAGTGACATCACTAGAGTCCCCGACTCCTCCCCAGGGCGAGGGTCACTCTAACCAGAGGAGACACCAGCCCCAGACTCCCATTCACCTTTGAATCCCAGCAGCACCTCCCGCAAGTGGGCGCTTTTCTGAGAGAAATCGCTGAGTTTCTTCTCCAGCTCTGCAAACCCCAGCTTAGGCTTCTGAAACATCCCATCCTCCCTGCTGGGGAAAGGAGGAGGGGTGAGAAATGGACCCGATCCCCATACCAACAATTTGTTACTGTTCTTTATTAAGTCCTTTATTTTCACGATCAGTATCACTCAGCCCCTGTCCACACACAATTAGGGCCCCTGCTATTTCTACTGTTCGGTTTGTTTCCTTTCCACTCCCACCCTCCTTTCTCCATTTCTCTCTCTCTCCTCACTGTCTTTGTGTCTCTCCTCTGTTCTTCCCTCTCTACATCAGCTTCCTATTCCCACCCCTCAAAGGCTTCTCTCCTGCCCCCTCCCACCTGCTCAAGTGATCAGCCATGGAATATTGAATGTTGATGTTAAACTGTCACTGCAATGAGATTAAGAGAGGACAAGGGCATTCACGCCTCTCTGAACTGGTGTTTCAGGCTGTTTGCAGACTCAGGAAGGCAACATTGTCTCCGTGTCCATTTGGGAGGCTTTCTTTGTTACCAGGAGGGCTAGAAACTTACTTTAAAAAAAAACTGAAAGCTGAGATTCTGCACACTCTGAATACATGATGTGGCCACATAAATACGTCAGACAGGCCAGGTCTGGCCTATATGTCTGACAGCCCTGGTGTGACCTCATTAGCTGTCAGAGTAACAGGCTCTGCCCCTTGCTGAGGCAGCCAGTAGGGGACACAGAATCCCAGGCTCTAAGCCAGCGTGTCACACTCCAAGGGCAGGGAGGAGCTCCGTATCCAGTGCAGTTTCCAAGCGTAACTGAACATGAGGAGGAGGGAAATGGAGCTGGGGACTCACCTACTCCCAGTGCTCCCGGCACCCTGCAGAAGGAGAGAAAAAAGAGGATGTCAGAGGACATGCAGGGGAATTACCATTGGAGTCTAACTTCAGACACTCGGGTTCATGTTCCCAGAGCAGCTGCCATCCCCCAAGCAGGAACTTCTGCCCTCAGCAGCCCCACGAATCCCTGCTGAGAGATCGCCACAGGGGGAAGTTTCTCCCCAGGCATTTTACAGGAAGAAAATATTTGCTGCATTGAAAGTGAAATTCCCGCTAGTGCTGAGAGCCCCACAAGCCCCCTGACCCCACTAAACCCATTAATCTGGTGGCAGTGGGGCCTTAGGCCTGGCTCAAGACCATGGCATGGAGGGGGGCGGGGATGTCAGCCTTGAAGTGCGAATGCAGACAGACATTTACAGGCAGGAGAGAAGGTCTTGGGGTTGCAGTACCAGGACTCCCAGGACCCATCCCTTGCGCCACTGCCAAACTCACTGTGTGACCTTGGGCAGGGCTCTGCCTCTCCCTCTGCCTCACTTTCCCCATTTCTCCCATAGGGATAATGCCCCTGACCCCTCTGTAAAGTGCTTTGGGGTCTAGGGCTCAGAAGCGCCTATAGAAATACTGCATAGGATCACTGCAATGACAGTCTGACCTGCAGGGGTTGGCTCAGCGGCTGCTGCCCCTTCTCTCCTCCCCTCTCCCTGAGCAGGGAAATCTCCCAGGACAGGCTGCAGATGCCCTCATCCCTTCTCTGGACAATGGCTCTCTCTAGCTCTTCCAGCCGGGACAGCAGCCGCTGCTCCTGCTCCTCCAGAAACCCTCGCAGCTCCTTCCACTCCCAGACGATCTTCTGCCTCTCGGCTTCCGTCTGTTTCTGCAACCACAGGGAGAGGACGGCTCGGTAACAGGGGAACACAGAACGTAAGAATGGCCAGACTGGGTCTGACCAAAGGTCCATCTAGCCCAGTGTCCTGTCCTCCAACAGTGGCCAATGCCAGGTGCCCCAGAGGGAATGAACGGAACAGGTAAACATCAAGTGATACATTCCCAGCTTCTGGCAAACAGAGGCTAGGGACACCATCCCTGCCCATCCTAGCTAATGGCCATTGATGGACCTAGCCTCCATCAACTTATCTAGTTCTTTTTTGAACCCTGTTATAGTCTTGGCCTTCACAACATCCTCTGGCAAAGAATTCCATAGGTTGACTGTGTGTTGTGTAAAGAAATACTTCCTTTTGTTTGTTTTAAACCTGCTGCCTATTTATTTCATTGGGTGACCCGTAGTTCTTGTGTTATGAGAAGGGAGTAAATAACACTTCCTTATTTACTTTCTCCACACTAGTCATGGTTTTATAGACCTCTAGCATATCCCCCCTTAGTCATCTCTTTTCCAAGCTGAAAAGTCCCAGTCTTATTAATCTCTCCTCATATGGAAGCTGTTCCATACCCCTAATCATTTTTGTTGCCCTTTTCTGCATCTTTTCTAATTCCAATATATCTTTTTTGAGATGGGGCAAACAGATCTGCACACAGTATTCAAGATGTGGGTGTACCATGAATTTATATAGAGGCAATATGGATATCTTCTGTCTTATTCTCTACCCCTTTCCTAATGATTTCCAACATTCTGTTTGCTTTTTTGACTGCCGCTGCACACTGAGTGGATGTTTTTAGAGAACTATCCACAACGATTCCAAGATCTCCTTCTTCAGTGGTAACAGCTAATTTAGACCCCATCATTTTATATGTATAGTTGGGATTATGTTTTCCAAAGTGCATTACTTTGCATTTATCAACACTGAATTGCATCTGCCATTTCATTGCCCAGTCACCCAGTTTTGTGAGATCCCTTTGTAGCTCTTCGCAGTCTGCTTTGGGCTTAACTTTCTGGAGTAATTTTGTACCATCTGCAAATTTTGCCACCTCACTATTTATCCCTTTCCCCATATCATTTAGGAATATGTTGAACAGCACTGGTCCCAGTACAGACCCCTGGGGGACACCACTATTTACCTCTCTCCGTTCTGAAAACTGACCATTTATTCCTACCTGTTGTTGCCTATCTTTTAACCAGTTACTGATTGAGGAGAGGACCTTCCTTCTTATCCCAGGACTGCTCACTTTGCTTAAGAGCCTTTGATTAATCATAAATGTGCCTCCCAGCACATGGTTTTATTTACAAGAACACAGGATTTCTTGCAGTGGGTGATGGGGTGGAAGGATTGGGGCAGGCGTGAGCTGTACATCACTAGAATCACAGACTTGGAAGGGACCTCAGGAGGTCATCTAGTCCAACCCCCAGACAGATTTCTTGCCCCAGATCCCTAAATGGGCCCCTCAAGGATTGAACTCACAACCCTGGGTTTAGCAGACCAAGGCTCAAACCACTGAGCTATCCCTCCCCCCATCAACTTGAACTGAGCCAAACTCTCCAGCCCACATTTCATCTCCTTGCCCCCCTTTTCCCCTAGGTGCAATAAAGGATCCCCGGTCACTGTAACATACAGACAGCCCGTGGGCAGGGTCTCTGGGCTAACACAGAGACTGACCCTCTCCTGCCCAGCAGCCTCTTGCACCCTAAGGGCATCATGTCACCCATGTGTCTGACCCTGCCCTCTCCCTGGGCTCAGGCTGGAAGGATGGGCCCTGCATTCACCATGTCACTCAGGGCAGTGGTTCTCAACTAGGGGTACCCATACTCCTGGGCATACCCGGAGGTCTTCCAGGGGGTACATCAACTCACCTAGAGATTTGCCTAGTTTTACAACAGCCTACATAAAAAGAACTAGCGAAGTCAGTACTAACTAACATTTCATACAGACAATGACTTGTTTAGACTGCTGTATAGTCGATACACTGAAATGTAAGCATGAGATTTACATTCAGATGGATTTACTTTATAATTATACGGTAAGACTGAGAAAGTCAGCCATTTTTCAGTACTAGTGTGCTGTGACACTTTTGCATTTGTATGTCTGATTTTGTAAGCAAGTTGTTTTTAAGAGAGGTAAACTTGGGGCTACTCAAGACAAATCAGATTCCTGAGATGGGGACAGTAGTTTGGAAAGGTTGAGAGCCACTGACGCAGGGCACTGGGATCCCAGGCAAACCTGAAGCCAGGGGGCTCCCGGGTACCTACCAGCAGCTCCTCGCTATGCTGCTGCTCGTCGGCTTTGGCTGCTTCTCTCTCTTTTCCCAGAGGGGCCAGACGCTCTTGCGGTGCCTCCTGGAAGAAGGGGGGGGGGAGAGGGTAGAAATTGCTGCAAACGGCCTCCCAGCTGCCAAATTTCAGGGCCCGTCCTGCCCTGCAGAGGGTCGTGCAGAGTCTCTGGGACTCAGACTTTCATCCCAGGTCTTGTTCAGCCTCAGCGAAGCTGGTGAAAGGGGCAGCAGGTTTGCCAGAGAAAACTCAGGACCCCAGGTTGAAATGACAGGGCTGCAGCTCCCAGCTGCAAACATCCTCAGGCCCTGCCCACATCTCAAGCTGCCAACTTCAGAGATTACCCCCAACTTCCCCAGCTCCAGCCCCCAATGCTCCCGCAGGGCCAGATCTGAACATGGACTCCGCCCCCCAACCAAATATCCCCCAAACCCCAGCTCCAAGCAGCCCCCAAACTCCAGCAGCCCCACGATCCCCAACACCAGCTGCCTCCATCCCCTCGCTCTCGGGGCTCAGCCTGGGCTCCGAGCTCCGCAGCCGAGCCGGGCTCCGAGCCCTTCCCGGCAGGAGCGTGTCCGCCCCACGCGTGTCTCCGGCCCACGCCCCTCACCCAGCACCTGCCCGCTCCGCGCTGCCCCCGGACCCACCGCGCTGCCCCGCGGGCTGCAGGGCTGGAGCAGCCTCCACACTGGGCTCCCGGCCCCGGCCATGGCTCCTTTCTGCAAACACAAAGGGCTCCTGGGCTGGGGGGGCAGGAAGGGGCGGCTCCTACCCGGGCCTGGCCCTGCCCTGGGCGGGCCCCTCGCAGGGTGTTTGTGACACTCGGGAAATCCAGCTCTGGCCGAGAAAAACCTGGGCGGCAGAGCAGATCCCAAACCCGGGCAGCGGGGGGGGGGGGGAGGGGGACATGTACCCATGAGAGGGAGGAAAAACATTGTTGACATTGAAAGAGCAGTGAAAGCTAATGGGACATGGTTAAACCTACCAGCATTAAACTACTCCTTTGAGAGAAATCCATGAGAGGGTACCACATATCATCTAAAATATGAGCCCTGCCCCAAGAGAAAAAATATTTGCAAATCATTCATTAAATGCCCGAACTAAACTGCATTCATGAATGAGTCAAGATTTCTGTTTATAATTTTGGTCATCAAGCAAGCAGACTTTGCCTTAAATGACACTGATTTTTGTGGAGAATATGGAAAACAACTTCCATATGAGGAGAGATTAATAAAACTGGGACTTTTCAGCTTGGAAACCAGATGACTAAGGGGGGTATTTACTCCTTCTCATAACACAAGAACTAGGAGTCAGCCAATACAATAAATAGGCAGCAGGTTTAAAACAAACAAATGCAAGTATTTCTTCATACAACAACACACAGTCAACCTGTGGAACTCTTTGCCAGAGGATGTTGTGAAGGTCAAGATTATAACAGGGTTCAAAAAAGAACTAGAGAAGTTCATGGAGGACAGGTCCATCAGTGGCTATTAGCCAGGCTGGGCAGGGATGGAGTTCCTAGCCTGTTTGCCAGAAGCTGGGAATGGGCGACAGGGGATGGATCACTTGATTATTACCTGTTCTGTTCAATCCCTCTGAAGCACCTGGCATTGGCCACTGTCAGAAGACAGGATACTGGGCTAGATGGACCTTTGGTCTGACCCAGTGTGGCCAGGGCCGGCTCCAGGCACCAGCCCAGCAAGCAGGTGCTTGGGCGGCCAAGGGGAAGGGGCGGCACGTCGGGCTGTTTGGCGGCAATTTGGTGGCAGATCCCTCTCGGAGGGAAGCACCTGCCGCCGAATTCCCGCCGAAGAAGAAAGCGGCGCGGTGGAGCTGCCACCGGAGTGTCGCCGATCGCAATTGCGATCGCGGCTTCTTCTTTTTTTTCCCGCCGCTTGGGGTGGCAAAAACCCTGGAGCCGGTCCTGAGTGTGGCCGTTCTTATGTTCTATGTTCCCTCTACTGCAACCTTGTCAGCTATGGAAAGAAAAACAAGGATAGGGGCCCAGCTGTGTGCTAAAAATAATTCAAAATTTGCCACTCTGGTCTGGCAGGGGGTGGGGCTGGCTGAGGGGGAGACAGCATCTTGCAGTCTGCACCAGCATTCCTGCCAGCAGGGGGCTGGTGAGTGGGTCTGTGGGTAGGTTGGCGGGGGGGCTCTGGGAACTAGTGGTTTGCCCCAGGTTTTAGGTGGAGCTTCTCTCTTGGGCACTCCGCTCCTGGCTGGGGTTCAGGTCCAGGTCCTGGTCCTGGCTCCTGCCTGAACCCATCTGGTGGAGTCCGGGTTTGGGTCCCAGCTCCTGCCCAGCCCACGTGGTGGGGTCCGTGTCTGAGTCCTGGCTCCTGCCCGGGCCTGTGCGGCAAGGCCCGCGCAGCGGGGTCTAGGTCCCAGATCCTGGCTGGGCCCGCACGGCGGGGTCCGGGTCTGGGGTTTGGCTCCTGCATACAGCAGGGTCTGGATCCAGGGTCCCAGCTCCTGCCCGGCCCCATATGGTGGGGTCCAGGTTTGGGTGTGTGGGGTCCTAATCTGGGGTCTGGCTCATCCCTCGCCCCATGCGGGGAGGTCTGGGGTCCAGCTCCTGCATGTGGCGGGGTCTGGGTCTGGGGTCCGGCTCCTATCCAGCCCTGCACAGCGGGATTTAGGGTCCGGCTGCCTGGCCTGCGCCCAGGTCTCCACTCCTTGCCCCACTCTGGCCAGGGGCACTGGGCATAGGGGACTGTGGGCAGTTTTAGGGTGGGGGGGGGTGCTGTGGTTCTCAACTCAACACAGCCTCTCCCCCAAAGCTGGCTGGGGTTGGGCTAGGGCCGGTGGGCTGGTGCTTGGGCTGCACTTAACACATTGGGTAGGTAAAACACTGACCTAGATATAAAGTTAAATCAGGGGCTAGATCCTTAAACACATACACCACAAGTTATTGTCATCCAATACTTGTGCATACGTCAGTGGAGGGGCATTCTGAAGGCAGTTCTTGCTGGGTTTGTTGAAACACTGGAGATGAAACTAGAAGCTGAGCATGGGCGGCGCATGAGCCCCCAGTTTGGGAAGGTTAGCTCCCAGCCCCGATCCTTCTGCCCCACTCCCCTGCCAGCCCCCCATCACGGCCAGAGGAGCCCTGACCCAGACACCCTGAGTCCCGGCCCACAGGCCCGCCAGCCAGCCCGCCCGCCCTAGCTCAGCCCCACCCAGATTTGGGGGAGAGGCTGAGTGAGGGTGGGAAGAGGAGCTGTGTGTGGGGAGGGGACATGGGGAAAGAGCAGGACACGGGAGAGGGGCCTCGGGGTGGAGCATGGATGGGGCCGCACCTCAGCTTCATGGGCGGAGGGTAAGATTCTGAAAAGAAACCCTTCTGGATAATTCAGAACTGCCCCCACTGTCTTGCTCCTGAGCATCACTTACCCTCTCTGTTTTTTTTTCCTTTTAATTTTTTTAGCGCACTGTAGTCCTAGGCATTGGGGGGGGGGGTCTGCCCCCCGGGGGGTGTCAGGGCGGGGGGTGTTTTTGGTGCCATGGGGGGGCGCTGGGGCCAGGGGCTTCAGCCTCGGGGGGTGCGCCGGGGCTCCTGTAGGTTTGAAAATATTTACGGGAGTGACACTCCACATGGCTCCAGCTGAATTTAAGCCCTGCTCTCATGATTTCAAAGCCAATCTCATGATTTTTGGCCACTTGGGGTTGGCAGTGCTGCCCCGGGAACAGCCAGAAGCAGACGGTAACCCCAAGGAAAGGCAGGGTCAGACCAGTGGCTTCAGCAGATGTTGCTAATGCTAAACATCTTTATCATAGAATCATAGAAGATTGGAAAAGATCTCAGGAGGTATCTAGTCCAACCCCCTGCTCAAAGCAGGACTAATTCCCAACTAACTCATCCCAGCCAGGGCTCTGTCAAGTCGGGCGTTAAAAACCTCTAAGGAAGGAGATTCCACCACCTCCCTAGGGAACCCATTCCAGTGCTTCACCACCCTCCTAGTGAAATAATGTTTCCTAATATCCAACCTAGACCTCCCCCACTGCAACTTGAGACCATTGCTCCTTGTTCTGTCAACTGCCACCACTGAGAACAGCCGAGCTCCATCCCTTTCAAAGCTGAGCAAATTCTGACTGGGGGCAGCAGCTGTTAACCTTGCAGTGTGTGTGTGTGTGTGTCAGCCAGGCATCAGCTCTGCGGCGTGCGGAGCAGAGGAAACCCCTGTCCCAGTGAGCGCTGCAGCCCGGGTTGCTATTGAGGGACACAGGAAGGGGCTGGAGCAGGAGCGATCAGGAGGCAGGAAGAAAACAAAGTACACAGATAATACCGGCCACTCACTGCAAAATGCAAAACGCTGCCTCCTCCATTGTGTCCTGGGAGCGGAGCAGCTGCTGCTTCCCCAGCGGGGTCTGTGCCGGAGAGAGACCTTCCTTTATGCTCCTCCTGTACCCAGCCAAGTGGGGGGGACTTTCTCCAGCTGGATCTAGCCCCCTAGGGCAGCCCTGGGCTCCACCAGCATCAACTCCTGAGCCGGAGACTCCAGGTGACTAGGAGAGACCCAGGGGAAAGTGCTGGGGACGGGCAGGAAAGTGAGGGATCCTCAGATGCTGCAACTCTAGACAATGAAGCCTCTGTCCTCCCTCTGTCTCCAGCTCCGGTCAGGAGCTGCCCCAGAGGGCAAAACTGGGGTGGGGGGTGGGGGTCAGGAAGGGAAAGGGATGAAAAATAAGCCAGAGTTGCAGGGAGGGGAAAGACAGACTGTGTGAACTCTGTGCAGGCAGGAGATTGAAGGGGGAAGAAAGCAGCTGATCTGGGGAGGGGGGTGTTTAAGGACATCTTCTCTGATTTTGCCACTTCTCTCAACTCTTGACAAAATTCTCTCCCCAATTGTCACATAGGGATATAAAATCTGTGTCGATCCCCCCCCCCCCCCCGCTTTTCTCTCAGATTATCCACTCTTTATCTAGGCTCAGATTTTGTCTCCATTTTTCTCTCTCCTTCTCCGATGTCAGTTTAAAATCGCCTCAGATTGGCGGGGGGTGGGGGGTTCCCCACCCATTTGGCCCTCTGAAAGCCGCTTCCCAAAAGGCTGCCTGCTTCTCGA